ATTGTAATTTCCTGAATTATGGCCCTTGATTGTAGGAAAAATCACTTTCTTGTTAGCTTGTTCTCTATCCATCTCTCGAAAATGTGGGCGTATCCTGCCTGGCAGCCGCTGGTTATCTGATTTAATAAAAAAAACGTGTGAATATATCAGAGTTATACACTAATGTAGTTGAGTTCGAATTTCGTGAAAATCGGACTAAAACTGACGGACATAACTGCCGCCCCTGATACGCAAATCGTGTAAAAATGTATATCAAGGTTGTGGATCCTCTAGAGGCCACAGTTTTCGTGAAAATCGGACTAAAACTGACGGACGCAAATAGTGTAAAAAAAAATATGGTATATCAAGGTTGTGGATCCTCTAGAGGCCACAGTTTTGATCTAATTTGGATGAAACTTTAAATATATGATTTTATCATAAAGATCTTGGTTGCTTTTGATAATCACACATATCCGAAATACCTTCCTGGATTATGGCCTCTGATTGGTCGAAAAATCGCATATTTAGCTTGTGGATTCTCTAGAGGTCACATTTTTTCCGATTTTAAAAACCGTTTAGATATATCGTCATTCCACTATAATGAAGATTGAATTCGAATTTCGGGAAAATCGAAATGAAACTGCCTCACAAAATGGCCGTTCTTTGTACGCAAATTGTGTATAAGTATGTAATACAAAGGTAATGGACCCTCTAGAGATCACAATTTTTATCCGATTTTGATGAATCTGATAACATATCTTTATATTCAAAAAATCTCAGTCCTTTTTGATATTTGCACATTTCAGACGATAACTTTCTGGATTATGGCCACTGATTGTACAAAAAATCGTTTTTGTTTTTAGCTTGTTCTCTTATGGCGGTATACTAGATTCAAAATTCTAACATGCTATCGTCTAATTTCTAACCTCTGTTCAATTCATGTAATTTTTATAATGTATAATCCAACTTCTTTATTTGTTATGTGTAAATTTTAATTCTGTTTCATCTGATTTCTATTATTAAGACGAAAAATGTCTACTTCATTGTCGCTTTACATGTTAATCATGAACGTCGAGCAAATGTAGAATTTTGATACTTCTACCTAGCAACCATCATTATGACGTCGTTTGGTGGCGCCACCGTGTGCTCCATTTGGCGATTGAGCACTGAATGGTTTGGCAGAGTGTAAAAATTGAAAACAACATCGAACGTGATATGGTTTGCAAATACTGTTTTAGATAAGCTAAACAGCATTTGTTCATTTTTTTAAAGAAAAGTGCAGGATTGGGAGAATTTTATTTTATTTTTATTTTACAGTTAAAATGTATACAGTATAGGCTACTGTTGATCTATAAATTATTCTTTTAATGCTCTAAAAATGTCTCTTTATACCACCCGAACGACTAGCCACTGTCCGTGCCAGACCCCCATCCTCTATCAATAACAAGGGAGGGAGAACCACGCCGGAAGATATCGGTTATAGGCTATCATAAAAAAAAATGTATGTCTATGGGTTATATAACATCGTCAGTTAGTAGGCCTATACACACTGGCAAAACTAAGCTATATAATATTTCTGACATTATTAGTTCCGTCCCTGTGATTTGCGTAGGTTGCCGTTATTGTAAGCATACACAGTGTCTAGTCGTCCTGCTCGGACGAAAACCCTTGGCAGCTGTAATTTGTAATAAAAGTAGACTGTGACGCCGCTGTCCAGGCTAAATTTCACCCATGGCACACTGTAAGTTCGTCTTCATTAGCCTGGATGATGAGAAAAGTAGGACGATAAACCGCTATCTATGAATTTCCGTATTGCTTTATGCAACTTGAATAAAATATTTTTGGAAAAAACTACCATAAAGTTAGTCAGGTCGGTGTAATGAAGGAATCAGAAATAAAAACTTCCTCGCTTTCCACATGAACAGATTATCCCAGTCTCCTTTAAAGGCCGTTTCATCCCTACAATATGGGATTTCTAAATTTATATCTTTGAACCATGGTTAGAGTAGTAATAGAATACAGTTTAACAGTAAATAAATATTATTGATGACTTAACTGTAAAAAAAATTTTTTTTAAAATTCTCCAACCATTTCACGTTCGATGTTGTTTTCAATTTCACCATCGATTCCCTGGTTATACGTGACAAGGAGTAGGGTAGCCTGTCCAACCTCGAATGGGTTTTCTCCGGGTCCTCCCACTGCTAAAGACCCTTACGCGCAAGCGAATTGTTGAAATAAAATTGAACCATATGTTAGTCCCGAAATGACCTAGTTTGTGTCGAGCGGTCCTTACCCCTCTCTCTCTCTCTCTCTCTCTCTCTCAACCAGACGAAGAGCGAGTCGTTTATATCAACATAATGGTCCCTACCAAGTGCACAATCACCAAATGAGCACGCAGTGGCGACACCAAACGACTTCATAATGATGGTTGCTAGGCAGAAGTGTAAAAATTCCAAACGTGTAAAGCATCAATGAAGAAGATGTTTTTCGTCTAAATAATAGAAATAAGATGGAATAGAATTAAAATTTACACTGAACAAATAAAGAAAAGAAGTTAGAAATTACTTGAAATGAAGTTAGAAATTACTTGAAATGAAGTTAGAAATTACATGAACAGAGGTTAGAAATTAGACGATAGCACATTAGAATTTTGAATCTAATATACCGCCATAGTTCTCTATCCATCTCTTGCAAAATGTGGGCGTATCCTGCCAGGCAGCCGCTGGTTTGTAATTCGCGCAGAATAAACCCCTTTACCCCTCAAAAGTTATTATTATGTCCATTATAGCTGACGTATCCATGTAATGATTTTTGAAATATCGTTTTGCAGGGAGATAGTGGTGGCCCTGCAGTTTGCAACGGTGTTTTGGCTGGTATAACTTCTTTCGGCGCAAGAAATTGCCCACCAATCTATCCTAGCGCCTACACAAGAATCTCTTATTACTATAATTTCATCCGACGACGACTAGAAAACGATGATAAATAAAAGATATATCGGATAACCTTTCTTGTTTTTTTTTACACAGCCTTTAATATGAGCGAATATTGTTGTCACCAACGTCAGTCCACCATTTCCTATGAACACTCTATAGGGCTCTGGGCACATTCGTGTTTTGTAAGCAAAGACCCCCCCCCCCCGCCTTCTGAGCTTCCAATAGACTGGACTAACTTTAGACAGCAAGGAAATAATGTAACTGGCGAAGATGAAAGACACGGGTGTCACTAAAAAAGAAATGGTGGAAGTGGAAAAGGGGAAAACAAGTCTTCTCATTTCTGATCAGAATAAAAGACAAACCCCACCACTCTGTTTATAAACAAAGCAAAGTACTATATAATTCTATTGGTCGGGCTAATGCCATGAATACTAATTTACAAATTCAAGCGACGCCCCCACGCCCTCTGCTCCACCATCTATCCCGGTAATACCTTTGAACTAGCATCACCCAAAATCAAGGAATATTAAATCCACCATATTATCACATCACTTGCAATAGGTAAAAGCTTCATGGCCAGATTGTATTAATTACAAAATCCTTGTTGCGAGAGGTTTGGAATCCCACTTTAAAAATCTGTTTTTCTTCCTATTAGTAAACTTGGTATTTCCAGGTTAATGGATAGAAGCACCATCATCCTTTATAGTCAAATATGCCTATTAAAATTCATTGGTAAAATCGTTGACGGCGTTTTTACAAGTATATCTAAAATTGTGTTTTTTGTCATAAGCTACTTACATCACACCAAACCGAATATATTAAGGATTCCACAGTTTATCAATTTCTAGATTTATATGACGAAATCTGTAAAGCCCTTGAAGGGAGCAAAGAAGTGCAATTAATTTATTACGATATCAGTAAAGCCCGTGACAAGGTTTGGCATTGCGGGATGTCTTCTTTCAAGCTATTAGTATCCATAGAAATGTGCATAGACTTCTAAAAAGTTAATTATCAAATAGACAGTAGTGATAAACGATCTTCTTATTGATATAAAATCCATAAAAGTTGCTATATCTTGTCATTGAAGATCTCGTTTCAGCACTTTATGCCCTAATAAACTTTTGAGCTTGACACACCACAATTTGAAGCTTTAAGAACATTAACTGGACATGTTCTTTGAATATCACATTGTTTTGTATGTACACTAAACCACTTAGTAAACTGCTCACCGAAAAGGATTTATACCACCATTTGTACGCAGAAGACTAACAAATGATAAATTTTTTCACCCCAGAACAGAATAGTCAGTTGTCTTTTTGTATGAAAATGGAAACCTGTGTAACGGAAGTGAAAAGCTGGATGACTAACAATATGTTCAAACTAAAATGAGATAAAACAGAAGTGTTATTGATTGTTCCTCCGTGAAGATTCAAACAGAAGTACATTACGTATTTGAAAATTAAAATTTCAAATTCCGTTAAAAATCTTGGTGTCATCATGGAAAATAATCTATCAATGGAATATCAGTGAAAGATAAACAAAATAGACATTAAAGGATACACAATTCAGCTGTAAGAATTATTTCACGAACTACAGTTAGCGACCACATATCTCCTGTTTTATGCTATCTTCATTGGCTTCGTACCAATGAACGTATTGAATTAAAATTACTGTGGACCTCCAGGAACTTGTCCAGGAACATGTACCCTCTCGGAACCGTAGATCCAAATTAACTTTCTGGTACAGTTACTAACTTACAACTTAAAAACTTTTAGAGCAAATCATTTTCATATGTGGCGACTATACATTGGAATAATCTGCCTACATAATATTTGAAACTTTGAAACAGTGCCTAACCCTATCGACTTTCGAAATCATCACTGAAGACTTATCTGTTTAGTATTATGTTGTAAACGTTGTTCGACATTGCATACACTACAGTCAGTGTGGCAGTATATTTTAAGACTACACAGTCCGCACTCCCATCGGCTACTTTCCACTATGGAGAAATCAATAATAGAATTTTATCACGATCTGGATCAATACAATATAGCTCATTGTTGACCAATATCATCTGTCTGTTCTAAAATGTATTATAAAACATGTACAAAACAAAACAAAGACAGGTAATAATTTATTAACATTTTACATTATTTTATTCTTTTTACTGAATTGATTTACATACATTTGTCTAATTCAAGATTATGCATCATCGGACAATTTGAAAATCTGTAACTGGTATTGTCCAAAGCTCGGCAAATGCAGAAAACGACGAGGCGTTCATTCATTCATTCGTCAAACACTGAACTTATACCCAATTGTCAACCAATTGATTCAATACTTGTCTGGTGAAAGCTTAACACGTTTATACCATTTCAAATTTAGCCAACAAGGTCGTCTGGTACAATGTGTTTCCCGATTAACAAGTGCTTCTTACGTAGCGTTCGTGGTATAAATTGAAATTCTATTGTATTTGCCTTTGAGATGAAGATACAGGTTATGAGACATTTGAGTTTGTATTCTCTTGTATTCCTATTACGTCCCTTTAATTGTCAGTTTCCAACTAATCCACTTAGGATTATTGGTGGACGAAACGCGTCTCCTGGACAATTCCCATATCAAGTCTCACTTCGTTACAGACGTAGTAATGGACGATATAAACACTACTGTGGCGGGGCATTAATTGGAAGAAACACCGTTTTAACGACAGCCCACTGTATTGGTCGTAATAGGTAAGACATGTATGTTTATGTGTAAAAGTACCGTTATCCGCAACTAACATTCAAATTTTGTTCGTCGTATTGTTTATGGAGTGAGTAGTAGGCATTGGTTTAAAGTGGACGAACAGGATAATATTCCAGAGCTCATAGAGTTAAATGTGCTTGATTAATAGTTTATATTTGCTTAATGAACTAAACCAAAAGTGGTAAATAGGCTTTTTGAACTTAATGAAAGGAATGATTTTGTAGAGCTCATATATTTTAAATTTTCTTGATTAACTAAATTAAAGGAACCCCAGTTCATATGGTAGAAATTTTCTTAATTGACTAAACTAAAGGGGTAATATTCCAGAGCTCATATTGTTTAAATTTGCTTGATTAACTAAATTAAAGGAGTATTTTCCATAAATACCAATTTTCAGTAAAAGACCGTCGCAAAATTTCAACACTTGGGGATAGAAAATAATAAATTAAAGGTCAGTTGTTACTGAATCATCGACGGAAATATGACAACATTTTCTTACTCCGTCGGCGTGGATGGGAGGAGGTGTGGTTCTTCGTTTGAACGCAAGTGTTAAGATTTTGCGATGGCCCCTTTTGTATTATTTTTGTATAATTTACCACATGAAAACTTTTATTGTCCTGGACTACCCCCTTCAGTAACGTTCCTTTGATCTGCGAGACACCAACTAATGCTATTATAATATATTACAGTGTCAGTCGATTCTTAGTTATTCTCGGTGATTATAGGACAAACAGAAAAGAGCGTACCGAACAATTGTTCAAATTACGCCGTGTTTATGTTGTAAGTATAAGTTAAATCATAGGCCGTGGAAGTAATTTGATAGAAAGTAGGACATCGAGTAGAATCTGCCGCATGCATATTTATAGTAGTTTTGTGATGAAAAATGTCCGCATTATGGCCATTTAACTCCCACTGTATGCATAGGGGTGTCAACATCACGAAATAGCCTACAATTGTCAACTTTAACATTCGTGATGCGATAATGGGACTTTGTAAATGTCGGGTTGAAATGTGTGAGTGATCACTTCACAAAATGCTGTTATTTCCTTATTCTTATTTTAGCACCCCCGTTACAATCGTAGAAGAGTAACGAATGATTTGGCTATATTGAAACTAGCTGGAAAGGTTCGTTACACCAAGACTGTTAAACGGGTCAGGTTAGCAAAACCAGGACAAAATTTTGTCGGGTCTACTTGTATCATCAGTGGCTGGGGAGCAACTCGCGGTAAGTGGCCGTTTGCAAAATTACGGTAAATGTTGGGGAGCCACTCGCAATAAATTGGCTTTTACATACATGAGTGGTTGGGGTTGGTCTGTGGTTGTGAACACAAAGTCGTTTTCAAAGCAAAAACAAAGATTGCTTAATTTCGAAACTTTTCGAAGTATGTCATAAACAAATATTTCTGAAACCATCTTCACATGATTATTTGGTTCGCTATGGTCGCCATTTTGGATTTGGTTCTTAGACGTTCGCTCCAGATAACGTATTTAAAACTAGGTCAACAGACTGCAACTTTCAAAATAGCGAAGATCAGGGAACATGGCTTTCCTGATTATGCACATCCATGCTTCCAATTTTGTAATTTGATTTTACCCATTATTGAATATATACAGGATTTAATTGCCGTTTTATTATTTTAGGAGGTGGACCAACAAGCAATATCCTCCAGTTTACAAGAGTCACGGTTATCACAAGTAGACGATGTCAAAGATCTTATGACGATATCTTTGGAAGAGTAATCTGTTTTTTATCGAACGACAGAGGAAGCGGTATTTGCGATGTAAGAAATATTTTAAAATGACCAGAACTCATTTGTTTAGAGTTCTTTGTATCTTATGTATTGTTTTTGTTTTATAATAAGGCAATCTATATGCGTTGAAGATTTTATATCTGTAGATAAAGCCAATGTTAAGCTATAATTTATTGGCTTTTCGCTGTTAACACAGCAAGTTAAAAATTAAACTTGTATTTTTAAACAAAACAACTTCAACTTAATCTTCCTGAGCAGAAATTTAATAGTACAGGTCCCGAGTTCACAAAGCATTATCAGAGTTAAATTAAGCATTTACTCAACATTGTTCGCCTTATTTTAACAAAAATATAGCCCTATATAAAACTTTTGTTTTAATGTATCAAATACATCACTAAGGAACCGTGCAAACGTTTGTTTTTCTGGATCAAAGATATTTCTCATAAACAGTGATAAGAAGTTAAGTAAATTCTTAACTTAAGCCTGGGAATGCTTTGTGGACTCGGGGCCAGAGCTTCCCCTAATTCAATACTTTATTTTCACATCAAACAAAGGGGTTAAGCTCCTTTAACAAAATGTGGAAAGCGGACGATATAAGGGGCCTGAATCTTGTATATGTGTGTCGAAAATCTAAAATTAATAATTGTAATTTGGACGTACGAGAAGAACTATCCTATAACGATAATTGTGGTTTGGAACGCAGCTTTAGGAGATTTTATTTTGCTAAAGGGGAAATTGTGAGGTGTACAGTAGGGCAAGTGAATATTGTGTTACTTCTGTTGTGTTGAAATGGCCATGTTGATCTAGATGGCAGTGCGGTAGTGGTGGAATCAATTTAATATTTGGGTGGTGTAGCGCACCCCCTCTTTTTTTGAAGCAATATTTGTTCAGATTTGTATCTGAATACGGATTGGGCAACAGGCATAGCCTATATTAAACCCCCTCTATCCCCCTATTAAAAAGTTATGCTTCATTTCTGTTTGTCACACCACTTTTATTATCCTGTAAGTTTATCACTTTATAAAACTATCCTCTCATGGCTCCATTTTCGATCTTTTATGTATTTTCTACGAAATTGCAGCATACACTGCAGTATAATATTTTTGAATGATTGTATTGCAGGGAGATAGTGGTGGGCCTGCAGTTTGCCACGGTGTTTTGGCTGGCGTAACCTCCTTTGGGGTAGATGATTGTCTGACACACTATCCCAGCGTCTACACTAGAGTTTCGTATTATAATAAGTATATTAGACAACGATTGTAACGACATGTACTTACAAACTGAAAATGGATGATAGCGTTGCCAGGAAGTGAATACACTCCCACAAACAGTATACACAGGAGTGACAACCGTATACACTGCCATTGGCAAAGTATACATGGAAATGTTCTCTTGTTATTCGCCGACAATTAATTAGGCATAGTGAAACCGTATACACAAATAACCGATCATTCAAATTTGAAAATAGGCCTCCTCTCTTTGTGACTTCCAATCTGATTAAAATACAGATCTATATTTCGTTTCATTTTTTTTATACTTTCGATGGCCTACACTATATGAAGATCTGACCGGTTGTAGTGATAGGCGGTACCCATGGAAACGAATTAAACACGTCAAAGAATCTAACAAATACTCTATTTTATAATATCTATTAGTTATTTTTTTCGAAATTTTTTTTTGAATTTTTTCTAGCTGTTATTAAAACGGAACAATATCACGAACATAGCTTGAAAACCTCTATTCTAATTATTGGGCTGGCTTTGTGAGAACGAAGCTGGCCCGCTAACCAGGATTCGCTCCCGGTAGAAAGTTCTTCGAAAATTTCTCACATGGTTTCCCCTTATAAGTGGTGCAGGATGGAGGGCCTAGCAAGGACAATGTCTATTCGTCCGTCTACACAAAACTTAGCAATACGCAATTATGAACCACTAATTTCGCCCCCCCCCCCCCTTCCTCCTTCCCAGTACATATTTCGATGCACGTGCAGGAGCCCCTGATAGTTGGAATTCGATGAAGAGTAGACGGAAAACTCCTCTCTAGCATTAACCGCGTGTTAGTCTCTAAATTATCCAAGATACATGATGACATAAAGTATGAATTCCAGTGATAAACATGGTGAGAGTTCTAATCTAAAAATCTGTGATCGCTTAATTGATCCTATTATAATGATGCACGTTTTAATATGTAGCAAAATTGTGGATACTGAACATTACCGAAAGCAAAGGATAATCTTAAATGTCACAGTTGAACATGTACAGACAAATGCCGAAGATATTTACCAGTTTTTGTTCTTTTAAACAATATTTTTATTCAGGATAGTCTTTGTAAAACCCCTAATCAATTTTAATCTTAATGTGGGAAGTTTGACAAGCACAGATCAATGAGATCAATATGACACCGACATTTTTTTTCATAGATATTTAATGATTTTGTAGCTAGGCTTAAAATCGATTAAATTTTTCATTGAAGTATTTAACTCCACGTGTTTACCATAGCCAAAAAGTCAATAATTCCAAGAATTCGTGAGATCAAATTTGGGACTTTGGAATTGTTCAGAAAGTTGTTTTATGTAGCATAATTACTATTAAAGATACATGATTCAAAAGCTAAATTTGCCTATTGCAAGTCTTGAATACACCAGTACCGTGGTTACGATAATAAACAATCAATGCACACATCTTGTCAAAACTACAAACAGTGATAACTTGGCTCCAGAATAAAGTAATTTGAATGAATCAAACAGTGTGATTTACATGAAAACAATACAATATTCTAACAGGTTTGCATTACAATCTAGAAAGAGTGGTTATTTATAATAATGCACAAATTGGGAGTGGTATCAGGCGTTCTAGAAAGATAAATCATAATCTGCCTCGTGTACGATATCTGTTTTGGAAGAATCCAATTTGGATGCACATTTATATGGACTGATCGCAAAACACATCTAAAGGTACGACGGACGTCGGGGTGTAAGGCGAGACAATAACACAAGTTGAACCGGCACAAGATTTTTATTGCGTTCACTATGAGTTTTCCCATTTTGTGTTCCAAGTTTAAACCTTTGCAGGGGGGATGGATGGTCGAATGGTTAGCACGCGCGCGCTGTATCATAAGGCTTGCCATTGAGTCAACTGGCGTGGTTTAGAATCCCCGGTTGTACGTGACAAGGAGTAGGGTCGCCTGTGGGTCCTCCGGTTTCCTCCCACTGCTGAAGACCCCTACGCGCAAGCAAATTATTGAAATAAAGTTAAAAACCATATGTTAGTCCCAAAATGACCTAGTTTGTCTCGAGTGGACGTTAAACCCCATTTCTCTTTCTCTCTCTCTTAACCCTTTGCAACCACAGCCATCTTCCTGCGACTTGAAAATGCCGTAGGACGTAAACTCCCAAAAGAGACACGGATCATTATATGAATCAAAACGTCATAGCGTTCATGACAAATAATTTGGCACTGGGACTGTGTGACTTCGTGGTGTTATCTGCAACTAAAACAGTTGACACCGTGGATGGGTTCACCGCGATTCTAGCTTCAAAATTTAAATAATCAAAGATAAAACCAATTGAGTTCTTGGGTCCTACTAATCACCGACAAAAAACAGACAAACGCGTTTCTTTTGTCAATAGCACTCAAATTAGGCCTATGCTAAAGAGTAACCGATGATAAATATATATTATCATATATATATATATATTTATCATATAAAGATATGTTATAGATACTGTAGTACGTGCTACTGACAATAATACTCTCTTTTCGATTCTTGTCATTGATTATGAGGATTGGAATCCGTATCATAAACTTGGGATAAATTGATACCTAAGTAATCTATACTTTCATCCATAATTATTCTTATTTAAAGAAACTTAAAGTTGAGTATGAGGTTTCGTGATACATGTACATATATTAGTATTGTTTCATAAAGTGAAATTGACAAACAAAAACCACGCTCTTGTCTGTGCTAGTCGGTGATTGTAAGACCGTTTTGTCCAAATTTCAATTGTCCATATCTTTTCTATATTTTTTTTGTGAAATTTAAATTTTAGATATAATGTGTAGAATATGCATATCCATGTCATTGAGTCAATTGGCATGGTTTCGATTCTCCAGTTGTACGTGACAAGGAGCAAGGTCGTCTGTCCAACCTCGTGGGTTTTCTCCGGGTCCTCCGGTTTCCCTCCACTGCTAGAGACCCCTACGCGCAAGTGAATTATTGAAATAAAATTGAACCATATGTTAGTCCCGAAATTTTGTCAGTGTTTTATGAAATCATTTAAATATTTTATATGATTTGTAGAATGTGCATATCCTATTAGTTTTTGTTGGTGATTATTAGGACCGGATTTATTTAATTTTTCAGTACTTTTTGTTGAAGTATTGACTGTCAAATGGACAGTGTTGTGCCACTATAATGTTCCACCATTGCAAGATAATTAAATTCCACTCACGACTTCTTTAATAAACATAAATCAAACCAAAAGGCATACAGCAACGAAAGTCTTGCGAATCATACAGTGTGATTAACAGGAATACAACCTAGAAAGAGCTAATAATAATGGGACATGCTCTCAGGTGTTCTAGAAAGAGCAAATATGTCCGTTTTAGAAACTAGATATTTACATTTTAAAGAGGGCATATAAATACTACAATTATGGATTTAAAAAAAAATCTTTTAGTATTTAGATATTAACATTTTAAAGAGGGCATATAAATACTACAATTATGGATTTAAAAAATAATCTTTTAGTATTTATTAACAGCGTCTTGGATGATTTCGCACGATATCGTGGGTACTTATCAGTCCATACTTGACTGCATATACTTTAGTCAGAATCGCTTTTTCAGAATGGCCTGGGATGTTTGAATGCGCACCGTTGTATATGCTAACAATTGCCTGAATACAAATATTATTTACTAAACAAGCGAAATACGCCCGGTGGGTATTTCTATACGAACCATACACGTAATTACAAGAGATGTTTCTAGAATTTTCGTTAATTTTACTCTAAGATGGACAGATGTAACCTCTAGAGCTTATGGATTTCTTTGAATTCTCATCTGAGCTCTTTGAATATGTATGTTTACTGTATTGTTGATCCAGAAATTGTCAGTCCCAGAACCGTCCATACTTCCCATAAGAAATCCCTTGCTGCAATCATCATCTGCATCAAACCACCATCCACCCCCAAATTTTTTTGCACACGCATAGTTATTAGTATAATCCACATCATAAGTAGAAAATGGATTTCCTGTCAAAGGCTTGTCTCCAAAAATGGTATCGCCACATTGAGAGACGCTGGGATTATATGTGGAGGAACCATAGATCTCATATCTCCCGGATGCTTTTACCAGTGTAAAACTTGGATAGAACGTCTCGCAGTACTCCGAGGCAGTATTATAGTACATAACTATGTTTAATTTGAAACCCGAGTTGGGATTTTCCATTATTTGTAGAACTTTGTCAAATCCGATCCAACTATTCAAATGGACATAGCCAAACCCCTTCTCGTATTCTGCTAGAGATCTATTAAAGTTCTCGTGGCGACATTTCGTACTTCTATCTAAAATGGTTGTCCATCCACCATAATTCAACAGACACAATACCTCAAAAGGTATATCCGAAACCGTAGGTTGAATTGTTACGAGATACTCTTCAAATGCTTCAGCTCCTTTCGATATTCCATCTGTACAATCTGAAAGACACGCAATGAGCCCTTTTTTAAATCTGTTTTATATTAGTCTGTCCGAATTTGTATTCCAACATCAGCTATTTGAAATATTTAACAAATATATACACAAAGTGATACGACCCTGCATATGCAGGTTAGACGGGAGATTTGATAAATATGGAAGGACTGAAAAATACATTTAAAACGAGTGTCCTTTTCAGAAGAATAAATAGATATATAAAAGTCATCCATAACACACAAGAAAGCAGTTGTGGGTCGTCTGAAATTCCCTTCTAATACACTTGATACCACTTCTCGGTTAACGAGTTACATAAGAATTAGATTTTAAAATATTATTTTTTCTATAAATAAAGCAATATTTATAGCGTTAAACTACACGTAAATTAGTTAACTAGCAACGAGGGATGCAACGAAATTACATGTAAATCTATACTAGTGCATTGCTTAATACATTACACGAAACGTATGTTAAAGTAGCTAAGTCTCTAACTCAATATCATCCAAAATCTTCAACATTGAAAACACGAATTATTTGTCAAATTAAATCAACATTCATGTTGTGATCTTACCGGAAATAGATGGGGTTTTGATATCCACTATTTAAGACAAAATAAACATTTTACCATTGGTACACGAATCGTGTACCATAATGCGCTTCAGCCCCAGTTGTATCAAGAGACTCGAGGGACGAGGCTAGACACATTGAGCCAAATCAAACGGCGGATCTAGACTGGAATAACCAGACTGCTGGCTTATTTCGCCGAACATAACTGATTTGAAATTGGAGTAAAAACGGAAACCATTGAATGTAAATCAGTTTATATACATTCATATTACAGAATTATATGCGTTGCGACCCACTTTTGTCCATTTCTAGGTCCCAAATGTTAGCGATTTAGCTCCTTTAATATTTATCTTACCTGTAAGGGGGTAAGACGCTAGCTCGCTAGTCTAGAGGTCGAGATTTTGATCCCTACATCGGCTGAGAAAGTTCATCCAGATTTTCCGGCGTGGTCCCCCCTTGTCAATGATGCAGGACGGATGGCCTGACAAGGACAGCTGTCTAGTGGTTCGGATGGGACGAAAAACCGAGGTCCCGTTTACACATTGGCGTGAAGTAAAAGATCCCTTGACAGTTGGAATTCGATATAAGAGTAGGCCGTAGTGCCGCTGTCCGGGCCAAATTTCCCTCATAGCACACTGTATGGCATATGTCCGTCTTCATTAGCCCAGTTCGGAGCTAATTTCATTTCTTACCTGTAAATATATTCTGACAGGAATCTCCATAGAAACCCAAAGGACAAGTACAACCTGTTTGGTTACACGCTATAACCTGCAAATACAG